CAAAAAACAAATCCACGTTACTTTAGACAATACTAGTATAGCACAAACAAACTCTATAATATCTTTAGGCAGGAAAATAAACTCCTCTCTAACAGCTAACGAACATTGTAGTTGTAATTAACTGTAAGCTTCAAAAACGACTCCCAAGTTTTTCAAACTCATTAGAACTATCAAAGCAGTACCAAAACCTAAGGCAGCAATCAACTTCTACTTAGCCTTTGTTGGATCCAAAAATGAGTACTGCCGAAACTCCGTTGAAAACTGCTCCAAGACAGTTAACAAAAATCCAAACCTTTCAAAACAACTACACCAATCCCATTAATATACGTTTTAGCTAACGAATTATCAATTTACCACCCTCAGATAGAGCAAACTGACTGACAGCCGGATTTTATCCGGCCAAGGCCTGTTACCCTTTCGGCGACCTAACCCCGTTTAGGTCTACAAGTAACTTTAGTCTAAGTTCGCCAATGGAGCAACACCTCGCAGCTGGGTCGCTCCAAATCCTTCTGATCAGGGCTGGTGTAGAAACCAACCCTGGACCGACGGATTACTTCTGCTGCGTATGTCAAAGAAGACTCCACCACTCATCCACCTCGGTTAGATGCACCCAGTGCAATGGTTGGAGTCATCTTAAGACCTGCTCAGGCCTTAAGACCCACAGGGAATGGACCACAAGTTATGTGGCCCCATGCTGCCAGCGTCTAATCGCCCCCTCAGCCTCCCCGGCAGTGCCTTCAGCACACATACCCACTCTGGGTAATCTGCAGACCTTCACGGTCTTATGGAGCTCCCCGCAGCATGATTCCCCCAACCTCCACCCCCAACCCCACCCACAACCAGCTCCTCATCCTCCTCCCGTGCGGGGGCTACCCAGCAGCTCCTAGTCCCCCGCACTGTCTGTTCCGTGTGTCAGACCATAGTGCGTCGGTACGTGACCTCAGTCAAATGCAACTTGTGCTCTAGCTGGTGTAACTTTCGAACGTGCTCTGTCCTGCGCACTACCCGTGAGTGGAGCGATGCGTATGTTGCCCTGTGCTGTATGACTCTGCCCCCGCATGTCTCTACAAACCCTCCGCCAACCAACACCAACTCGCGGAACCAACTCTCGCGGGTAGTACAGCAGCAACACACACCATCCACGCATCACTCCCTCACACCCCACGCGAACGTTCCCCCGAGAGAGACCCGACTCCTGGAATTCAACTGCAACGAACTCCAGCGAAAGATTGATGAAGATGAATTCTGCACAATGAACGACAACACTCCCACCAGAGTTATGGGTAATTGCCAAAGCTTGTCAGACATAACAATCGCAAGTGCTGGTCTGATAAACAGTATAGTCTTGCGACCTATACTGACGTTAGCATCGGACCACTTGCCCATACAAATCTCGATTGACAAGCCTCCCGACTTTGTTTCCGCGGACCACCGGACATTAGTTAAATTTAAAAAAGCTAATTGGCCCGGATTCACGGAATTTACCGAGAACGCCTTTAGTGCTCTTCCCACTCCAACTGACGTCACCGCTGGTGAACGCTCATTCCTCAGGGTCGTCGTGACCGCTGCCGCCCGCTTCATCCCGGCATGCCGAATCGCGGAAATCCGCCCTAACTTTCCGACAGAAGCGGCGGTACTAGCAACCAGGCGCGACACCCTTCGAAGCTCCGATCCCGGGAATCCCCTAATCAGGGATTTAAACGCGGAGATTCGACGAGTCGTAAACAATCATAAGCGGAAAAGGTGGGAGGAGCACCTAAGGACCTGCAACCTCTCCTCTGGGGCAACCAAGCTCTGGGCCACAGTCAAGTCGCTGTCTAACCCGACGAGACGCGATGACCGGGTGGAAATTTCATTCGGTGATCGCGCCTCGTCGGACCCGAAGAGATGCGCGAGCTATTTTAGCCGTCTTTTTACACTGCATCCCTCGGTATATAAAGCGAAACGACGTGTGACCCGCCGTATGCGCAAACTGCCAAACACCAGCGCGGTGCTTGATTTCTCCAGGGAGGAGGTTCAGGGGGTCATCGGGAAGGCGAAAGCCTCCAAATCCATCGGCCCCGACGGAATAAGCATGCTGATGCCGAAACACCTTGGACCAGCGGGAGCAGAATTTCTCACGAGGGTCCTCAATTTGTTTCTGACCACCCTGAAGATACCCGATGTGTGGAAAATTGGTAGGGTGGTCCCGCTCTTAAATCGGGGAAAGCAGCCAACAAAGGAGAGTCCTATCGGCCGATAACTCTCCCCTCCCCAGTAGCGAAGACACTTGAGGCCTTACTGCTCCCGACCTTCACTCACCATCTGCGTCCAGCTGCGCATCAGCATGGCTTCCGAAAAGTGCACAGCACCACAACAGCACTTAACGCCATAAACACCCAGATAGTCCATGGCCTTAACCAAAACCGACCCTGCGTGCGAACTGTCCTGTTAGCACATCTCGAAGCTCCCTCCACCACCAGAAGGAGTTTCCCTAGCCTCGTATGCCGATGACTGTACGATAATGGCGTCTGGCCAGGATATTGATGACCTCTGCTCGATGACACAAAAATTAAACACGGTAAATAACACAAAAATATTGGGAGTAACTCTAGACAGCCTGCACTCCTTCGCTCCGCATACGACCGCAATTTCCGCAAAACTCCAGAGCCGCAACAAAATACTCAAAGCGCTAGCCGGCAGCACCTGGGGTAAAGATAAAGAAACTTTGCTGGCTACTTACAAAGCAATTGGCCGTCCGGTCGTAAACTATGCTGCTCCGATCTTGACGCTGGGGACGAACGAGACGCAGATGAAGAAGCTACAGGCTTGCCAAAACACCGCCCTCAGGACTGCGACAGGAAACCTCCTGATGTCGCCGGAGCATCACTTGCCCAGGGAAGCATCTATGCTACGAGTTAAGGAGCAGAATGCTTTGCTGTGCAAGCAGTTCCTATTGGGATGCTACCGCAGAGAGCACCCCAGTAGGCACCTAATAGAGGCTGAACCTCCACCTAGGCACATCAGAAAGGGAGTATTAGATTTAAAGGCCACAATCCAGCAACACATACAACAACCGCTGGACAGGACGGCGTACCGACAAGCACTGAACGCCATTCACCAGGAGTCAGTTAACACCTTCATGGACTCCCTTCCAGTGAATGGCGTACTCGGAGAAATACCACCACCCATAGCAGGTTAAACTCCTACCTATCCAGACTAGACCCCAGCATAACCAACGTATGCCCTGCATGGGGGAGGCCTTGCACGACACTAACCACCTCTTCACATGCTCTCTCAAACCCACTCATCTAACCCCCCTCTCCCTTTGGTCCAACCCCGTCAAACCAGCTCGTTTCTTGAACCTACCACTAGATGACCTCGTTGACTTAGACTGATCAAACCTGTGCCTAAGCGGGGTTAGCGAACCGCTACAACAACAACAGCTAAAGAATTTTTTTAGATCCTATCAACAAATAATTCTTTCAAATGTTTATTTATAAAGCACCCTAATGTTAACTCAAGTTACAGCTCAACATACCAACAATATATAGAATTCTTCGACAACCTAGGAGTAATAGAACAAAGTTCTGCGCACTCGAACATAGTAAACCGAACAAAAACACTCCCATATAACAAAAAAAATACCTCTTGGAACAATATATTAATGATTTACAACAAATATTTTGACGACTACAAAGGAGTAACTTTAAGCTTTTATTCACGGACGCGTCAGTGCGTGACAAGCATACCGGAAAAGTAATTTTAAAACATCGTCCAGTTTTAGTGAAAACAAGCCATAGAAAAACAATATACAAAGATAGCCATCTCCACAATAGTTTAATCTCATTTTATTTTTTAGAAAATGTACAACAAATGCATTACAGAGTTACACAAACTAATAACAGAATAATTAGACACCAATCCGTGTAGGCAGGCTACTTTTCACAAAAAAAATGAATTTAAGCATATAGTAAATTCCAGGAAAAAATTCAGACACATCCAGCAGATGGAGCATGATCGAAAATAACATAAAAAATACAAAGCGAAGCAGAAACAAAAGTATAAAGTAGACATCTTTCTACACATGTGAATGCAAACAAAAACAAAACCAAAAACAAAAAAAAATTATTTAAATTAATTCCTTATACTCTCGACAGTTCCCTATATGCGATATTTAAGAGACTAATCTCACGGTAATTGGCGGAGACTCTTAAGTTCCAATCGTCGGCCAAGCTTTCGTCAGAATATATTTTGCAATGTAGCTGGGGCATGCACCTTGTCAGCTCTTCATCGCCATGTTTAAATAGGTCTGCCGATAGGCCATCGCTATAGCCGCTTTATGGTTCTTTAGGCGATTAATCGCTTAAGTGGGGAAATGGAACGTCTTTTCTGTCTTCGTCGTGTCGTTCACCATCTTATAGTGTTTCATTTTCACTGCCATATTTTTTAAACATTTGTATAGAGATCCATCTCTTCAAGACCGACGCCCGCTCGCAGCCGTTCCATTAAAACTTTCTTCCTTTTAACCGTGACCCAGGGCTCCACACGGTTTAAGTATAACATCTTGTGTGTATATGCAAATAACGCTTTATAACCGCTGAAGCGATTTTCGTCCGCGCTCCTCCACCAATTTTCGGATTTTCTAAGGCGCCTCCTGACTAATGCAAGAAATGCACTTGGAACGCTCGATTTTACCTGCTGAGGGCCAATTAGAAAAATTTTTTTTTGTAATTTTGGATGTTGGTCGGACCAGGACTCGAAGCTTGACCAATAAATTTCAAAGGACAGAATATTTTTTCTGTCTTAATTTCATAACGGTTCCATATTCATTTTTGGACGTTTACTCAACCATTTTTGATTGGAAAAAACTTTGGTTGCTCTAAACCATATATCACAAAATGTAGATAACATATCAGTAAAACGATAAACTTTCCGATTGCTATTTTTCTTTCTTCGTGTATTTCACATTATTTCATTATTACTTAATCAATAACAAATTTTTTTTATCGTTTTCGTAGCAATGGCAACCAAAGGTATGGAGATCAATTAATATTATTCTAAAACAATTACTCAGGAATTTAAAATTTCAAAATCAACGGAAAAATATTAGATCGGAAAACAAATATACATATAAGGCGTATGAATTCTGGAAGGAAAAAATGATAAACGAAGTTATTATTGCTTGAAAATCTAAAATTTTACTATATATCAAGCGCTATTATTACCATTGCAAAAAACGAAATACATAGTTTCTATCAAAAAATGTCTCAGTCAAATATATTATGTGATATAGAACCAGCGGATTCAATGGAGGAAGTTATTGAAACTGAGCACTTTACTAACATGAACGTAGCAACGGTTAGTGTAAGATATCCACAGTTTGGCATTTTAGTCAGAGATGATCGATACGAAGATGGTTCTTCTTCAAGAAATGAAGGTCCTGAAGAAATGGTGATGAGAAACATTGATGACGGTAATTATTATATATGTATATAACTTCTTGCATTTTGAGTTTTAATCTAAATTATTTATTACTCCTTATTGATTTATTTTCTTTGCGTATTTTTTGTGGGATTGGTAACGTTTTTTTTTGAGATAGCAGATAATTAACCGGTTAAAAAGTAGCTTATTGCGGATAACTAAAAATAACTCGTTCGATTCGTTTAAGATGATTTAATAGAAAGAAGAAAGTAGATACATTGTCAGGTTTGACGGCTGACAATCAGCGCTGTCTAATTTCAATGGTTCTTCAAAAATTTTATGCTCTGCAAAATACCCGTCTGTGGCTGTAAAAGGTTCTTCATTCGGCGAAACACGCTTTCCACAAAAAAATTTTATCAGGTGTCTGAAGAGGTAGTTGTCGCTGGGAAGAAGATCTGGGGAGTACGGTGGATGCTCTAGCAATTCGTAGTTGTTGTTGTAGAAGTTACTCTACTCCGCTTAGGGACAGGCTATTCAGTTTAAGTCATCGATATTATCTAACGGTAGGTACAGGAAATAAGCTGTTTCTATGGGTTCGGGTCATACGGATAGGGAGGTTAGATGTGTTAGTTTTGGGAGGCATGTAAATAGGTGATAAGTGTCGTGCGGGGACTCTTTACATGCAGGATAGGTAGGAGTTCAATCTGTTAACCTAAAGGCTGCAATAATATTCAGACTCAATTTAGCATCATGATGGTAGATTCAAGTCTCATACATAGTTATACAACGGCCCAAAATATCGGTTTTATTCTTCTTAATATGCTCCAAATTATGCTGAGAGATTTGCTTTCGATCCACTTTTTGTTGAATTGTTAACGTGTACGGCACTAACTTTCTAAACAGCTTATCAATATGTAAATCTCCTTATAAAATATGAAGTATGACATTAGATATTTCACGTTTAGTCAAAAATGGAACTTCACTAACAATATTATGAGCTTTTTAAATGTTTTAAGGGAGGACATCTAGTTAGGAGACCTAAAACATTAGATTTTTCAAACATTAAGCTTGACCATTGTATTTTTGAAGAGAGTTATCTGCAATAAAAACAATCAGACGGATTTCGTTAAAGTAACCTATAATCTTGTGAATAATCGGAGGAATAAGCCAAAAGAAATTTTTTGACAAAATGGCGGCTTCCCGAAAAAGTTCAATTTTTCTCCATAATTTTGGTCTTCTGTCTCAAATCTTGTTTGGTACCGAACGGCTCAGAGAGGTCCTTCCTAATTCTGATGGTGCTTCTGGAGTTGACTAGCGTCAGTTTACACAGCCGTATAAGTTTTGCAGGGATACCAAATTCAGACATAGCGGCATAAAGGCAGCAGAGTGTATCCTCTTTTCACGGGTCTTTTCTAAGATTTGGCGCATGTTGAATATTCGGTCAGTGGTTGACTTACCAGGTCTGAAGCCAAACTGATAAGGTCCAATCAGTTTCTTGACGGTAAGCTTCAGTCTTTCACATAATACACTCGACAGGGCCTTATATGCGGTATTAAGGAGGCTTATCCCATGGTAATTGGTGCAGACTGTGGAGTCTCCTTTTTTATGGATTGGGCAGAGCACACATAAATTCCATCCCCGAAAATGCTTTCGTCCGACTATATTCTGCAAAGTAGCTAATGCATGCTCCTTGTCAACTCTTCACTGCCATGTTTGAACAGTTCTGCCGGTAGGCCCTCCGCTCTCGCCGCTTTGTTGTGGAAGGTCGTTTCCATCGTCATCGATTGGGGTTTCGTGTTCACCACCTCCGTATTATCCATTTTCATTACCAGCTTCTGACGAGTCATCAACGAAGTGTGTGGTCTGGCGTTGTCCTGGTGGAACACTACACCCTTCCTGTTGGCCAATTCTGGACGTTCTGGTCGACCTCCTGCTTCAAGCGGTCAAGTTGTTCGCAGTAGATGGTAGAATTAAGCGTCTGGCTATATGGGAGCAGCTCATAGTGGATGGTTCAAAATGGTTTGGTGACTAACTCCCATCTCCTGGGCGATGTCACGAGATGCCATATGCCGGTCTAACTCGATGTATTCCATGATTTGATCGGTATTTGTCGTCACAGGTCATCCGCCGGCTGGCTTATCCATGGTGTCGTTCTCACCGGCTCTGAATCGTCGAAACCATTCTTCCGCGGTGATAGGGTGCCATGCCCCAAAACACCATTAATCTCATGGAACGTTTCTCTAGCGGATTTGCTTTTAACGAAGGAAAACTTTAAAATAGCTCGAATTTTGGCGTTAGTGAACTTCATGTTTACACGTCTATAACTGTTGAACGGAATATCCAAACTAATCATGCATAGCGTTGTTTTGTAGGTTATGTCAAGACCTTATGTATAGTGTTGCCATATACGAGCTCTGTAGCGATTTGTACATAGCCGCGAAACTCAAAAGACAAAAAAGCGGAAGGGAAATATTTGACAACCATATATAATAGCTTAGAATAAAATTTCAGTATTTTGTTTATTCTTTTGTTTGTTTTTTTTTTGGAAAAAAGGTGAAAAGTTCAAACGTGCGTAGACAGCGTGGACAAAGCTCAGTTGAAGTAAGGAAGTTATTTATTAGTCATTTTGAAATAAGAAAAACCATTCGGGAAATCGCAGAAATTGTGAGCAGACCCCGCTCAACTGTGCATGAAGCGATTAAACGATTCAAACAAACAAAGCTCGTGGAAAAACAAAAAGAAGTCTGGACGACCGAAGTTGTTTTCGGCTGCAGATGAGCGGTGGATAGTGCAGCAAATAAAAAAATCCAAACATGAGTGCTCCCAAGCCCTCAACATAAGTTATGTTGAAAAACTCAATATAATTGTAGTCCGGAAGAGTACCCGAATAGACTTACGAAAAAATAATTATAATGGAAGAGTACCACGGCAGAAACCTTTTATAAACGAGGTTAATCGAAACAAAAGGATAAAATTTGCAAAATGTCATGGGGATAAGGATTGTATGTTTGGAGGAAACCGAATGAAGAGCTGCTAGAAAAGAATTCACGTCCGACTGTTAAACACGGGGCCGGCTCAGTAATGGTATGGTTTTGTATGTCCGCAGCTGGTACTAGAAACTTGTGTTTCATAAATGGTAATATTTATCACTAGCAATATCTGACCATTTTAAAAGGAAATTTAGTGCAAAATGCGGAAAAGTTGGGAATTAATAACAATTTTGTCATCAGTTTTGTTAAGTTTTTATGTTCATATTATTTTTGTACGACCGAGTTGAATTTAGTTTGTGGTTTTGGTTGTTTTGAAAAATACACTTGAATAATAGAAGTATATGTTAAACAGAAAGCCCTCGATTTGCATTTTATTATAAATTTTTTTTTTTTGTTTGAAGTCATATAACTTAGGTGTTCGAGTTGATTTTTGAGCCACTGTACTCTGGCATCGATGGCTAGATAACCTCGTTGTGTCCTACAAGAGTCTGCTCCGGTCGTGAAACCTTCCGTAAGTCGTCGTATCTTTTCGTAGAACTTCGAGCGTTACCCTTGTCGGTCAGACGCATCTCGGTCTCTTTTTTTTTCTCTGCATATGCGTCTTACTTTCCTCTTCATCTCACGGTATCTATCTTATCCTGCACGTGATGTGGTCGATCGCAAGGTTGCGAGGCAGGCAGTCTGATTTCTCTCCGCTGCGACACGACAGTCCTCATCGTACCAGCTGTTTTTGAGACCTTTACGAAATCTAATAGTTTCGTTTGCAACTGTACGTAGGAAGCTTGAAATGCCGTCCCACAATTAAGTACTAGAAAATATTGCTCAGAAGTCCGGGAAAAAATGTGAGAGTAATCGGTTCAGCTATTCTCGAGATCTGTTGGTCAACGACTTGAAAACATAGCTTCGAGAAAAACGAGGGTAAAATTTCAAAAGCACTTTCAACTGCTGTGACGCTTCGTTACAGATATGCGTGTAACTTCTAAAATAACGGGCGGATTGACTTAAAATTTTCATAGTGTTTACTCGAATACATTCATATTACGAAAATTGAATTCAAAAGATTGATTTTTTTTTAATCTAACTAAATCTAGTTTCTTAAAGGTGAGTACTTCTTATACACTTCTAACAATTGTTTAAAAATTTTCTTTGCTCTTAAACCTTTCAAAACAAAGAATCTGATCACTTTTTTCCATATTAAAAGAAATTCTGGACACGTGAACTTGTGGCTTGTAAACAAAGAAACAGAAACTTTTCCACCTACCTGTATATACATATATGTGTTGAAGTTGACATGACAAGGCAAATTGATTTAATATTGTCTTTTTGTTCATTCGTCCAAGCAGTGTATAACTTGAGGGAAAAATGTAAAAACACGTGTACGACGTCTTGGCAACAACTAAAAAATACTAGACCCGCGTTAATTAATTAGTCAACCTAGATCACATATTACTATACAGCCTTGGCTAAAAGTATTAGGTACCCAGTAAAATACAAGTATTCTCAAATGTGGCTATCAAAGTTATTACTTCTTTTTGTAAATGTCTTACATCGGTATTTAACTGTTGATTAAACGATTAATTGTGTAATATTAAAAGTCATAGCACTCTGGGTCAGCTAAACCTAAAATTTGTCATTTTAAAGCAATTCTCAAAATATTTTCGTATTTAAAATTCGAAAGTGAAAGTGTAAATTACTATTAGTGAAAAGCTATCAATTTTATAAAAACAGTTCATATTCACCGAAATGCCTAAAAAAGTGAAATTAGTTACGATGATAGAGTTAGAATTCAAGTTCTAAGTGAAGAAGGTAAGTCTCAGGTTGAGATTGTCAATTTGGTGGGAGGTGCGTGGTGCGCGGTCCAATGTGCTATCAGGCGATTTGTGGAGGCAAAATCCCACAATAATAAATCAAATAGTGGAAGAAAGCGTCTAACCAGTTAACGAGAAGAACGAGTACTTATACGCGAGTCTCTCAAGGATCGCAAAAAACTTCTACCCTTGCAGCTGCCCTTTCGGATGAATTTAGTAAACTTGTTAATGCCCGAACAGCTAAAAGAAGACTTCTGGATGCCGGTTTAAAAGGATGTCAAGCCCGAAAGAAGCCGTGGCTTTCAGAAAAGAATAGGAAAAATCGTTTGGAATGGGCTCGCCGATACCAACCTTTCACGGAAGAAGATTGGTCGAATGTTCTGTGGTTTGATGAATCAAACTTCGAGGTAAGCTTAGTTAAGATCGTCTTAAAGACATAATACAAATCTTATGAAAACATCATTTTTTATTTTCTACAGATATTTGGGACACCTCTGTGACGTTCGTGAGTCGACGGGTTGGGAAGAATACCATCCATATTGCGTGGTACCCACTGTTAAGCATGGAGGTGGCAGCAGGTCGTATGGACAAAAGTACACAAATATATTAGAAGCTGTTCGTCTGCCTTTGTTAACGCGCATTTTCGGAAAGCTAATTTAGACGGGGGTTCAATTTCAACAAGACAATGCTCTTTGTCACAAATCAGCGACTACGATGCGTTGGTTTAGAGATAACAATATTGTGTTGATATCTCCAGATCTTAATTCCATTGAGACATGTGGGCTATTTTAAAACGCAAGATTAAAAACACATTATAATATCAAAAACTGCCTTAATTAACGAATGGTACGCTATAAGTGCGGACGAATGTGCAAAGCTTGTACGCAGCATGCCTGCCGTTATTAAATCGAAGGGTGGACCTACTAAGTATTAATGTTATTATCTTTGATTTATTGTATTTTCACTGTTTTACTAATTAAACTTCATTACTTCATTTGTTAAAACAAAAAATTCAGTATTTTTTGGGGTGCCTAATACTTTGGCCAAGGCTGTATATGTATGTCTTGGGGCGAAACCGCTACCACTTGATGCACCGGCACTACAATATTGACTTCATTTATATATTCCATTTTTATATTGAGTGAATGATGGGATTATCAATTTTCAGTATTTAAAAATGAAGACTTAGTGATGCATTCGGATACTCACCCGCCCAGCCATAAGGAAATTAAAGCCGAGAATGACAGGGATTATTTCTTGTATGCTAGTAAGCATTCTTTTAACAGCGATCTCTATGTGGAATCAACCATACCGATGAACGAAACTTCCAATATATTAACATCGACGAGGTGAGAGTTTAAATAAATCTTTAAGCGTTAGCTTATTTATTCTTTACATCCAGGAAGAGAGGAACAGGTGGCAAGCAATGGAGTCACGTTTCTACTACCAAGACCTTGAATGCGAATGTGGTTGAGCATATGGAAAATATTACCGTAAATGTTAATGATGCTCATCTCAGTGCGGAACTCAGCAATAATATGTTAGCCTTTAACAATCAACGTAATCATAGACAAAAATACATAAACAAATCCGAATCACCACAATTACATTCGGCCAGCGGACGAAATGCGAATGTAAATAATGCTATTTGCTTTAAGTCGGTAGAGCTCATAGAAGAACCAGTCAAACCGCGTCGCTGGGAGCAAAAACAGGTACAAATAAAAACCATGGAAGGTGAATTTAGTGTGACTATGTGGGCTTCCGGGAACTCTGACGATGAGAATTCAAATCCAGAAAATGGAACAGACTATCCAGATTTTATATCTAGTGAAGAACGAGGTGTAGAAGAAGAATGCAATATTACCGACTCTGTACAAAGGTTTGTGCCTACTGTCGAATCTAGTGAATTTCAACAGGAACACTTGTTGCATAGGCAACTAATCCTGGAGCAACAGGAAACTCACCCCTCACAAGTTTTGGGGCAAAATGCCATCGATACTGGAGAATCGACCACTATCGAATCAGATTGCGGTTCTGCTATGCCCGCAATAATAAATATAAATATATCTAATCATCCGCATATGTCAGAGTTTGCAGGACCAAGAACTATGGACAATAAATTAAAGCTTAAAAAGACTGTATCTAATAACAAAACAGACACTTTTACCACATCAGAAGAAAATAATGCCAAAAATGCGGGTTTGCCTGTTTCACGCTCTGCTTTATTGACTGCTCCACTTATTCACCCTGCCAATACTGCTGTGATTGCGATGACTAGTATGGATGACGGTAGCGTATCAGCAACAGCCTTACCAGTTGGTGTTGTATTGCAACAAAATTCGCAAACTATTTCTACCTCACCACCCCCCTTAAGTTATAGTAACAAGATCAACACTGTACCCACAGAAGGAAACTGCAATGGGCCTGGAGAAAAACGGATTGCGTGCCCTCAAAAAGGATGTTACAAATTTTTTCGTGATAATTCCGCGATGCGTAAGCATTTGCATACTCATGGGCCGCGTGTTCATGTTTGTGCTGAATGCGGAAAAGCTTTTGTAGAAAGTTCAAAATTAAAGCGTCACCAGTTGGTACATACTGGAGAAAAACCATTTCAATGTACTTTTGAAGGTTGTGGAAAACGGTTTTCTTTGGACTTTAATTTAAGGTAAATTGTACATCCAAACATACGTGAATTGCACGTGTAATCTATGACAGGAAATCATTTCATTACATATTTATGAACATGAAATTTTGTTTATATTCATTTGTAATTTGTTGTTTTACAAATAATATTTAGTTTCCTATTATTTTCATTATTGGAGAATAACAGTTGTTAGAGAAATTTTTAATTGTTTTGTTTTGCAGAACGCATGTGCGGATTCATACTGGCGATCGACCATATGTTTGTCCATTCGATGGTTGCAACAAAAAGTTTGCTCAATCAACAAACTTGAAATCACATATATTAACACATGCCAAAACAAAGTAAATATTTTATATGCATTTTTTTACATTTGACTATTTAATAATTACATTTCAGACGAAATTCACTAGGTTGCAGCCGGAGCAATATTAATAACGATTCCAGCAGTCCGCTGCAAATAGCGACCCAAAATCTTATAAAAATTGAACTAAATGAGGTTGATTCCAACTCCTCTTACGTTGTATACACGGATTAAGAAATATTTTCATTATCAGAAAACTAAGCATGGATACAAATTATAGTTTTGCTTCTTGACACACTTCTCAGAGAGTACCAAAAATGTTAAAACTTCCCTGTTAGTTTCATGTTTTAGCATAACGTTAAAGGTATGAAAGATTCTTTAAAAGGTTTATTTTAATTTTTTCTGCAATGCTTTTATATGAAAATTACAATCTTAATAAGAAGTTTCAACTGCTCGGTCATGACTTTTTAAATGTCGCATTTACTACATCATTAGATTAGGTATTTGGGATTATAAATTTAAAAGAAAATTCTGAGTAGTTATGAAAAAAAGATCACTATGTTTGTGCAAAAATAGTTCCCCGAAACGCAAACAAAAGAATAAAAAAGATTTCGGCGTTTACTCAGTTGTGTTTATCGAGATATATGTCAAACGTATGTTATGTTAAAGATGTCAGCTCCATAAATGTATTTGAATATTTAATTTTAAAATTTCTTTCAAATTTTGTTTGAGACACAAATACGTTATACAAGTATTTTTCTTCAATACTATTCTGAATATTCCTACAGATTTTCTAATGAACTGAAAAACATTATTTTCCTTTTTGATTAACATGAATTATACAACAAATGAGAAAAATAAATATTGAACATTCTAAAAATATAGCTTTTTAAAAGACGTGAAATAGTGTGTTGATTTCATAGATAAGTAACTTAAGCATTTGATTAGAGCTATAAGGCCATTTTGACGAAATGAGCGAGAATAAGCAAATAACTGCAAAACACTCATAAAAACATGTTTTTTGCCATTTAAGCATTAATATGGCTCAAGAGTGAGAAATGTAACTACTTCGCACCTAATTGATAGGGACTTATATATCATCATGCGGCTTTCGTTTCAAGAAACATGCATATGCGCTTTCTTCAGTTAATTCTCATATTATTAGCTATAATAAAAAGTTTTCGGCCGAGCTCCTCCTCTAACTTATGCTGTATGTCTTGATGTTTTCTAACAATTGCTGGTGCATTTATTCGAAGCCGGATGGATTTTTATGAAAAGTTTCTATTTTGTGTACATGAATTAGATCATATTAAATTATTACTTACTTGTTAATTTTCTTATATATTATTATTCGTCTATTAAAATTTAAAAAAAAGTTATCGGTGGAAAACTATTGAAAAGCACATATTCATTTATGTCCAAATATTTAAAAATCGGATAGAACATGAGTTTGAATACTTATGGGTTCACATCAAATTGAAATATATTTTGTTTTTCGTTTGCGCTTATTTAATTTCAAATTGGACTGAATGAGAAAAGCGTTTTTGTTTAAACTATGGAACATTCCCCCATATTGCGATTGGCGTGGTTGGCAAAATCGCTATTGCTATTATTTTTATTGCCGCATCGTCATCGTTGTTGTTCTTTTTGGTTTGACGTTTCTAGAAATAACTGAAGTATAAACGATTTTTTTTGTAATTTTTATGGATGAGTGCATAAGTTCGTGCCCGATTCCGCTGGATGCCGTTCGAATCGTTTGAGAGTGGCGCTCGTGAAAGAAATATATACATATTATATAACGTTGGAAAGATGACAGTCCGAACTGTAAACCAAGCATGAAATAACTTCATTTTGATTTGAGTTGCTTAGTGAAAAGACGCATGGAGGATGGACAACGGAAAAGATCATATTACAGTAGGCGCTGCAACTAAAGATATTCGCAAGTTTATTTGGACCGTGCTAAGGCACTCCGCACATTAAAGAAATGGTTCGCGAAATTTCGTTCTGGAAATTTTAACCTCGAAGATCAACCTCGCAGTGGACGGCCTTCTGAGCTTGATGACGATGTTCTAAGGACTTTAGTTGCGAATAACTCACGTATTTCGGCGGAAGAGGTTGCCAGTGAATTGAACGTCAACAAATCAACTGAGTTTCGTCGTTTGAAAAAGGTTGGGTACACTTTGAAGCTCGATACATGGGTGTCACATCAGTTGAGTGAAAAAAAAGTGGACCGTATGTCAACAGAAATTTCTTTGCTTCGACGGATCAAAAACGAACCTTTTTTGGATCGGATCGTGACTGGTGATGAAAAATGGATCCTTTACAACAATGTTCAACGCCAAAGAACATGGAAACAGGCACACGAAGGGGCGGAACCGATGTCGAAAGGTGGACTGCATCCGATGAAGGTACTGCTGTGCATTTGGTGGGATATCCGAGGCGTGATCTATTTTGAGCTCTTGCCAGCTGGAGAAACGATCACTGCCAACAAGTATTGTCAGCAATTGGTCGAATTGAAGAAAGCAATTGATGAAAAACGTCCGATTTTGGCCAATCGCCAAGGAGTTCTTTTCCATCATGACAACGCCAGGCCACATGTTCCAAAACCGACCCTGGCCAAACTGAAGGAGATGAATTGGGAAATCATGCCGCATCCCCCATATTCACCCGACATTGCACCTTCTGATTATCATTTGTTTCGATCGCTGCAGATGGAAAAAATTTAAAAATGTGGAAGACGTCAAAACCACCTTGACACCTTTTTCAACGAGAAACCGCGCGATTTCTATGAATCAGGCATCCGTAAATTGGTTGAACGTTGGGAGTGGATTGCCGAACATGATGGCGAATGCATAATTGATTAATAAAAGCGCTTTCTTCAAAAAATTTCAATTTTAGCTTGCACTTGAAATCGGGCACGAACTTATGCACTCATCCAATACGTTTAATTAATAAAAATATTTATATTGTGGCCAGTTATATCCCGCCAAATTCTGACTTTTCCACTTACTCTCTCCTGTCGTCAACGTTAAAATTATTCTTTTCCATTACTAAAACATCTGACAATGTTTTTACGATAGGCGACTTCAATTTATCCTGTGGTTCATGGAATTTTAATAAAAGTTTACTATTACTCAGCTCAACTCGAGATAATGCTCATGATTTCTGAGCTGGGTCTTTTCAAATGAATATGATCCGTAATAAGTCTGGAAAGACTTTGGATCTAATATTTTTGGTTGACGTTTCGTAATTTTCTTTAAGTCGCTGTGATGCTTTTGTTTTGCCCGAAGATGGTTATCATCCATCTCTCGAATTATCTTTAGATGTTCCGTCTAATCTTAATTATTTGTTATCTACTTCAAAGTCGAAATATTCTTGTTTTTTCTTTAAAAAGGCAAATTATATTAAACTTAGAAATGTACTGACTACAATTTCCTGACCAATGTATGACGGAAAAGTGGAAGAAAGCGTTCTTCCCTTCACAAGCGCTTTACATTCTGTCTTCAGAAAATTTGTTCCTGTAACCAATGAGCCGAGCCGTGTTCAAAATGCTTTAATAAAGAATTCAATAGTTTGAAAAATAAGAAGACTAGATTATTCAAGTTCTATAAAAATTCCGGCAAAATTTCTGATTATGGTGCTTATTCCGTAGTGAGACGAAAGTATAATATATTGAATAAGTCGTGTTACAAGAAGTATATGACAAGAATTCAAAATAACATTACTTCGAAACCGAAGTCATTCTATAGTTTTGTTAATTCGAAACGTAATAGCCTATTTCCACCAAGCACCTAAATGCATTTAAAGCCTCCGTTAAGTGAATGAAATGTCAAACGTTTCCACCGAAAGTGAGTTAACTCAAACAGCGGATTTTTATTTATATTTGCAGTTTGCCAAATTTGCCACAACTATTGAAATCATGAATTCAAGAGACCGCATTCATTTTATTTGGCTATTCATGCAATCTTAAGATTTGCAAGTGAAGATTATTTCTGCACGGACAAACGTTGCTGAAACGAAAATGCTTTTATGCATGTTTCCATTTTCACATTTGCTGGTTTGCTCCCTTTAATTATTTATTTAGCGTAATCAGCTGTTAGCTGCCAGAGCCACGTATATTTTTATGCTGAGGGGATCGTTTGATATTTCACAATTGATTTTTGTTTGTTTCTTATAGTTTTTTTTTTAAGGAGGAGAAGCATTCTCTTCGTCTATTACTTAATATTTATGTTAAAACCAATGCAAAAAAGTAATTTTTACATGAAAAATTTCACCATGCAAAATAAATAATTATAAAATAAAATCCGAAAATACACGACTCTGGCAAGAAGTACACCGAAACTTCCGAAATGATTACATTGGTAGTGACAGCAACGAATGTTAACATAACATTTTCAGTTAAATTGCCCAAAGTGAGTTAACTCACATTGAAAAGTGAGGTAACTCACTTTTATACAACAACAAACACATGGGAATTACCGCATTTAAATACGATNTTCATCCAGCCTTATTCAAATGGTTCCAAATGTTTTTTTGTGCAATCTTAAGCTCTTGGGCAACTGAAACAGTACTTACATGACGGCCGGACTCGACAATGTTCATAATTTTATCGACATTTTCAGCAATTTTCTTTCCACTCCGTAAACCATCTTTTACATCAAAATGACCGGATTGAAACCGAAATTGTTTATGATTAATTGTAACAGTATCAGGACTATAAACGCTTTTAACATTTTCAGTCGCCTGGTTGTGACCGAAGAAAAACTGTAAAATATAGCGTATTTTCACTTTGCAGTGTCCAAGTGGCCATGTGTGGAAATCCCAGCAAATGAGGAAAGTTTTTGACTGTCATTCACTTGGGAGTGGCCAGAAGCATTTTTTTTGCATATGGTTCAAGCAGCTCACGACATACGGTCTTAGACCACGCATTCTCTGGGTAGCTAACAAGCATCCGCTTGGAGGCGAGCTAGAGTGAGAAGGCGGATTGTGCGTAGGATTTTATGGTCGAAAAACTCTCAACCAAAAAATATTATTCCAAAAAATTATATATAAATGATCTTAATTTTTTTCTTAACGTAGTGGATCTTCTTTGGAAAATATCATTATATTCTGATGTGAAAAGTTATGAAGATCGGCTCATAGCGCCCCGAACGTATATATTGTACATCAAGACATTAAAACAAAGTTTTAACATCTTACTCTGCTTATAGTTTCATTAATTTCATATCTTATATCTTAATTTGTAAAACTGAATGTGTTCCTTACCCTAAATTAGTTTGTTGTGAATCTGGGGAGGTAGAAAAAAATGTGTATACTTTTCCTGAGGAAATGTTGGAAAATTGGTGTACTTCTAAAAAAAAATGTCTTACAATCTAATAATTGAAATATTAAATTAAAATCTACCCTATCGAACCTGTTAGAACTGACCAC